CACACACACACACACAGCAGGAAAAACACCCCCATATTTAAAATAAATAATAAAAATATTAAAAATAAATAAATAGGCCAGGTACGATAGTGCATGACTTTAATCCTAGCACTCCAGAGGCACAGGTGGATCTCTGTGAGTTCAAGGTCAGCCTGGTCTACAAAGTGAGTTCTAGGACAGCCAGGGCTATACAGTATGACCCTGTCTCAAAATAAAGAAAATAAATTGATTTAATTTTTATGTATATGATTGTTCGCCTATATGTATGTCTATACACTGTGTGTGTGAAAAACCCAGGTCCTTTGCAAGAGTAGTACATACTTTTTTTTTTGAGACAGGGTTTCTCTGTGGCTTTGGTGCCTGTCCTGGAACTAGCTCTTGTAGACCAGGCTGGCCTTGAACTCACAGAGATCCACTTGCCTCTGACTCCCGAATACTGGGGTTAAAGGCGTGCGCCACCACCACCCAGCAGGAGTGGTACTCAGAAGAGCCTCTGAGACATCTCTCCAACCCACTCCTTTTTCTTTGGTAGAATTATGGTTAAATATGTTTCACAAAAGTTTTGAAGAACTTATGAGCCTGGTGGCAAATTTCAAAATAAAAAGTACTAGGGCCTTGGTTGTAACCCAGTGTTGAAGTACTTGCCCACATGTGCAAGGCCCTTGGTTCAATTACTAGCACTAAAAAAATAGTAATTTTAAAAAAGGAGGTTTTAAGAACTCACATGACCCAGAGGGTATAGCTTTGAGATTTATTTGTTTTATGTGTATGGGTATTTTGCCTACACATACATGAATGGAGGTCAGAGGACAACTTCCGTGTCTGTCTTCATCGACCTGAAACAGGGTCTCCTGTTCAGTGCATGTATGTCTGTGCACTGTGTGCATGCAGTATCCACAGAGGTCAGAAGAGGGCGTGGATCAGCTGGGACAGGAGTTACAGGTAGCTGCGAGCCAGCTAGGAATCGAACTTGGGACCACTGAGCTAGCTCTCCAGACCCTTACAGAACTCTTTTGATTGATTCTGATTCTTTGGAATTACTGTTTTTGTTTGTTTGTTTTTTAACAAAGTGTTTTTCTACTTCTAGAACAATTAAGGCAATTTGTATTTTCTAAAAGTTGTGTCTATGTAACATTCTTAAATTTAGCATCCTAAAATTACATAATTTTTAAAAATATGAAGCAGGGTCTTGTTATGTTGTCCAGGCTGTCCTGGAGCTCCTAGGCTCAAACGATCCTGTCTAAACCTCCCAAGTAGCTGAACTATGGGTGTAGACAAGTGTGCTAGTGTTAATTTGTTACAAGCCTGCCTCAGCTTCCTGAGTGCTCAGGTTACAGGTATGTGTCATGATGTCTGGCTGAAGGTGTTAATCTTTCTGTGGAAGTTTTCCTCCCCAGACAGACAGATGACAGTCAGGTGTCCTCTCTCTCCCACCCTCACACTAGAGACTGAGGTCAGGGCCTCCCATGTGCTGGGTTGGTCTCACCACTGAGACATATCCCCAGCCCTCTTTCCACTCTGGAGACAGGGGCTTACTGCCCTGTTCAGGCTGCCTTTGAATTCCCTCTAGCTCAGGCAGGTTTGGGCTCATGATCCTCCTGACTAAGAAGCAGTAGCTGCTGCTTCTTTTTCAGTTTTAATGTATTTATTTTTATCTGCATGAGTATTTCCTTTGGATTTTTATCTGTGCACAAAAATGTGTATTCCTGGTGTTCACAGAGGCCAGAAGACAGTGTTAGATCCCCTCGAGAGAGAGTTACAGAAAGTTGTGAGTCACCATGTGGGTGCTGGGAATCAAACCAGAAAAGCAGCCAGTGCTTTTAACCATTGACTCACTCTCTTATTAACTGGGAATACAGAGCCTGCACTACCAGGCCTCACTAGAGAATTCTTTGAAATGCATGCATGTCTGTACCTATAAATATGCTTGTTGGGCCCAGAGGCTGAGCAAGGATATCTTCCTTGGTTGTATTCCACCTTATTACTGTCTGTCTGTCTGTCTGTCTGTCTGTCTGTCTATCTATCTATCTATCTATCTATCTATCTATCTATCTATCTATCTATCTATCTTTTCAGGTCAGGGTTTCTCTGTGTAGCTTTGGAGCTTGTCCTGGAACTCACTCTGTAGATCAGGCTGGTCTCGAACTCACAAAGATCTGCTTGCCTCTGCCTCCTAGTGGTAGGATTATAGGAGTATGCTTTTGCTACACCCAGCTTTTTATGTAGGTGCTTCAGATCTGAATTCAGGTCCTCACACTTGTACAGCATACACTGCTCACTGAGTGAGTTTTCTGGTAAAATTCCTTAGCTAGAGAATGTTACTAAGTCACGTCCCCAGCCCCTATCCAGAGACTGTTAGGTCTGCCAGATCTTTGTCTTTATCAAGAGTCTTTAAACTGCGGCCTGTGGGCTAATTCCTACCTGTTGCCTATTTTTGTATAGACTGTAATGGTTTTCACTCTGTGTGTGTGTGCTTGTGCTTAATGTAGTTTTGTCTGCGTATGGGTGTAAGTGTACACGTGTGAGTGCACACACGTGTGAGGGAGGTCAGAGGACAACTTCTGTGTCAATGCACATCATCTACCTTGTGGTAGTTTGAATGTAACTGGTCCCCATAATCTTACAAGGAGTGGCACTATGAGGAGGTGTGGCTTTGTTGGAGTGGGATGGCCTAGATGAAGGAAGTGTGCAGTTGTGGGGGTGGGCTTTGAGGTTTCCTATGCTCAGGATACTGCCGAGTCAGTCAGTGAAGTGCCTGTAGCCTGTAAGATGTAGTACTCCCAGCTCCAACACCATGTCTGCCTGCACGCCACTATGCTCCCAACCATGATGATAAAGGACTGATCCTCTGAAACTGTAAGTGAGCTACCATAATTAAATGTTTTCTTTATAAGAGTTGCTGTGGTCATGGTGTCTCTTCACAGCATTAATAACCCTAACTAAGACAGAGCTGAAACATGGTCTTTTCCTGTTCTTTGCTGTGTATGCGAAGCCAACTGACCCATGAGCTTTCCGGGGTTCTCCTGCCTCTGCCTCCTATCTAGTTACAGGAGCACTGAAGTTACAGATGGCTCACTTCATCCAGCTTTAGGAGGGTCCTGGGGATCTGAACTCAGGGTCTCACACGTGCATGGCCCACTGAACAATCTTCACAGCTGTTTTCTTATTTGTTTGTTTTAATGTTTAAGTAATTGAAAATAAACCCAGAATAATTCTGAATGTGGAGAATTACAAAAATTTAGATTTCAGTGTCTCTAATGAACTTGAAATGAAATCAGGGAAGGCTCACTTTGGCCTATGCATTACCACAGCTGTTTCAGGCCACAGGGCAGAGGCACACAGTTGCAACAGAGTATATGCAAACCCTAAAATGTTTATACCATCGGATGCTTCACACAAAGTTTGTGACTTCTGATCTACGGGATACAAGTTTTGATAGATATATCCACCAAATCCCCAGGTTATTATGTAATCTTGGTTTCTAGATCCTTAATATATTTGCCCAGTCAAAGTCAGAATGGCATACTAAATTTTCTTACAGCAAAGGAGTTTTGCCAAGCTCCTTCTTGTACACTTAGCCATTTTTGTTTTATAGATACAATCTCTGTTTCTGAGAGCTAACACTGATAATATATTTCAGTATGGAAAGTCTCCTTTATAAAAATAAAATGCTTTGATTTATTATATATCTTACTTTTGAGTTCTGCTATTTGCTTTTTGTTTTGTTTTGTTTTTTTCAAGACAGGGTTTCTCTGTGTTACAGCCCTGATTGTCCTGGAATTTGCTCTGTAGACCAGGCTGGCCTTGAACTCACAGAGAGGGCTGCCTCTGCCTCCCTAGCACTAGGAATAAAGGCGTGCGCCACCACCACCAGGCCGACAGACTCACAGTCATTGATTATCTTTTGCTTTGTGAAAATACATATTCTGGGGCTAGCAAGATGACTCAGGGGGTAAAGAGTCTGCCATGTAAGCCAGATGCCAGATGCCCTAGCTTGATCCTGGTGCCCATGCTGATGTGCTGGCATCTGTAAGCTCAGCATGCTTAGGGTAAAATAAGAGGTAGAAATAGAAGTTTAATGTATGAAGTATAGGGGCGGAAATGAGAGGCAGGAGAAATTCAACTCCTGAAGAGCCGTCTCCTAACCTGTGTACATATGCTGCAGCCTTCACACAGCCTGTCTGTCTTTCTCACACACAAAAGTTTAAAAACTTTTCCCCCTAGAATAATTTCAAAAAATTCAATTCACAATTTCACAATCACACAGTTTTAAAAACTGCTAGCATACTGTCCACTATGTGACTAGTGTTCTTAATTTAAGAACACAGAGAACCTCAAAAAATAAAGTAGCAACCACTTATATTGCAGAGATTTTGGCTATCCCAATGTTTATGTACTCTGTGTGGGGCAGGGCGCATGTCATATGTGTGTGAGGGTGAGAGGAACTGGTTCTCTCCTTCTTCCACACGGGTCCTGAGGCTACAACTCAGGTCTTCATACTCGCTTCGGCAGCACATCTACTAAAATTAAACAATACAGAGAATATCAGCACAGCCCCTGTGCAGGGATGACACGCAAATTTCAAGTGTTCCATATTTGATTTAGCCAGATGGTGGGGCATGCCTTTAATCCCAGCACTTAGGAGGCAGAAGCAGATGGACTGGAGTTTGAGACCAGCCTGGTCTACAGAGTGAGTTCCAGAACAGCCAGGACTACACAGAGAAAAACCAAAAACCAAACCAAAGCGAAACAACTGAGGTCCTCAGGCTGAGAGGCAAGCACCATGACTGGTGGAGTCATCTTCCTGGCCCTGACCTGGATGTTTCTATAGCAGTGGCTCAAAGAGGCATAGAAGGCAGAGAAGAAAACAGACTAACTTGAGATGTCCCAAAGAATGCCTACATACTGCATAATTTGGCAGCTGAATTAAGTTCTGTAGACATATACATAAAAAAGAAAACAAAATTTAGACAACGCCACATGAGAAGGCTTAAGAGCTAGCTTCCATAGTTTAGTTAGGCTAACAGAGTGTTAATCTGTCAATAAATCCTAGGTTTTATCTACTTTCCCCTCACTTAACAGATTACCTAGAAAAGGAGATTCGGAGATGGCGCAGTGGTTAAGGGTACTTGCTGCTCTTTCAGAGGACCTGGGTTTGATTCCCAGTACCACACAGTGCTTCATAAGTGTCCATAACTCCAGCTCCAGGGGATCTGATGCCCTCTGATCTGACCTCCACAGATACCAAGTACACATGTGGTACATAGACATACACAAAACATTCATAGATATAAATCTTTTTGCTTGTTTGTTAGTTTGAGACAGGGTCTCTATATAGTCCTGGCTATCCTGGAGCTTGCTATGTAGACCAGACTGGCCTCCAATTCACAAAGAGCCTTCTGTCTCTGCCTCCCAAATGTTGGCATTAAGGGACTGTGCTACCACACTCGGAGGGGGGGGGGGGGAGAAAGAAAAAAAGAAAAAAGAAACAAAATAAGCAAACAAAAGAACTTAAACAGCACTTTCTTTTCTCTTCCCTAGCAGGTATTTGTGTGGTGTTCGCGCATATCTGTGGGTGGGTGTGGCTGTGAGCGTGCCTACAGAGGTCAGGAACAGATGTCAGTTATTTCCCTCGACCACTCACTCTCCGCCATACACACTGAGCCTGGGTCTCTCCCTTAAATCCAGAACTACCAATCTGGCTAATCTGGTTAGCTAGCTTCCTCCAGGGATCCCGTTTATCTCACTGTGCTGGAGTCACAGGCAGGCCGCCATGCCTGCTGAGCATCTGCCTGGGTGCTGGGGATCTAAACTCCAGGCCTCAAGCTGTATAGCAAATGCACCACCCACTGAGCCATCTCCCCAAGCCTTCAAAGGCATTTTCTGATAAAATGAAGATCACTCAATAAAAACATTGGAAATGGCTGGGAAACAGCTCTTGCTGCCAAGCCTGACCACTGGAGTTTGATCCCTAAGACAAACATGGAAGGGGAGAACTGACACCGGTGGCTGTGACATGTATACCACACAGAAAATAAATAAGTCTAAAAATATTTTAGTTTTTAAATTTTAATTAATTAGTTAATTAACATTATTATTAATTTTGAGACAGGATGTCACTATGTAGCCTTGGCTGGGATCTTGCTATAAACAACAGGCTAGTCTTGAATTCAGAGATCCACCTGCCTCTGTCTCTCGAGTGCTGGGATTAAAGGTGTGTGCCACCACTGCCCGGCTCTGGCTCCTTAAGTCTTCGTTTGTTTGTTTTTGAGACAGTCGTTTCTCTGTGTAGCCCTGGCTTTCCTGGAACTCTATAGACCAGGCTGGCCTCGAACTCAAATTTGCTTGCCTCTGTCTTCTAACTGCTGGCATTAAAGGCGTGCGCCACCACTGTCACCTGGCTCTGGCTCCTTAGGTTTTTAAGAGACAGGGTCCCATATAGCCCAGACCAAGCTCAAACCTGCTATATAGCTGAGGCTGTCTTGAACTCCTAATCATTCTGTCTCCATCTCCTAAACTCTGGGATTACAGAAGTGCACACAAAGCTTCCTGATGGTAGAATGATAATACAAGAGAGCTGTGTTTTCCTTCTGGGTTACTGATTTGTTTGATACTAGTCTTCCTTTGTAGTTCTTTTCTCCTTAAACATTAGCTCTAGAAAACCCAGTAACATAAGGCGAAAAGCAGGTTCCGTCTTACCTGTGTGCTGGATGGAGGTTATCGCCTGGGCATTGCACTGCAGCTGCAGCATGTGCCGCAGCATGGCTAGTCCCCAAGTAGTCAAATCTGCACACAATCCTGGGCTCGCTGCTTTCCACTTGGAGGACACGGTTTGGGCCTGCACGCTGGCTGTTTTGAGCTGCCTGCACAGGGCAGAGACACTGATGGCGCAGATGAATCTGTGTTCCGGGCTATGTTTCTCAGTATGAGGCAGAAGGCTGAAGACAGCGTTATAATTACTTTCATACTTGCCATTGACATTACATCCAGGAACTGGGGGTTCACCTATTTTGCTGTTCTCTTCACTCTCCCCCTGATCTGTGTACCTAAATGTCTTGACTGGATTCTTGTTTTCAGGTAAACAGGTATCTTTGTGACCAGTCTCATCACAAAGCATCCTTACAACTCTGTCAACATCTTCAAATCTGGTTAACAGAGTCATCCTAAGGGCAACATGGCAGAAGACCCCAAGCACAAGAAGCAGCGCCCCCAGAGGACACTCTGTGCTATGGTAGCACTCCCATGCCTCCTGCGTACATTCCTGGCTGCAATACCTGGCATAGCTGCACCCGCCACAGGGTACTGTGGCCAAAGTGTGCTTCAGACATCGGTGACAGTAGAGGTCTCCATTGGTAACTCTGGTATCCCACTTGGTCTCTAGGCCATGGTGCAGTGGTGGCATTTCTCCTGGGTTAAGGACACTTACAAAAGCATCTTCCTTCACCAGGAGTTCTCCCGGGAGAATGTCTTTTGTGGCAACTAGATGGCGGCCTTTCAAAGGGTCCATGTGTAAGCTGACAGACAGCGATGCCCCAGAAATCTCTTTGTTCTCTTCCCCCAGGGCCATATCCTCAAACACTCTGGTGAGAGCTGCTGGGAAGGTTTCTGGGAGACTCTCCTTCTCTTGGATCTTCATTTTCAGGTGATGGAGGTTCCTCTGCAGAATCTGATGAGAGGAAGGCACCAGTGTTGGCTTGGCAGTGAGGCTGCTTTCAAGATCAGTGATGGTTTGCCTCGCCTCCTGCAGTCTCCCGAGGTTCACCAGGCACTCTGTCTTGCGCAGCATCATCTTGGGTTGCAGTCTTTCAGGATACCCATGCACATCTGCTCTCACTATGTCTTTAAGACATGCCTGAAAACAAAAAGGAATTCCGGAATGACTCCCAGTTTCTACTTTCCCCTATGTACTGAAAACTGAAAAGCCACAGGCATGTAAAGGGTCACAATAGTGGACAATTTCAACTGAGAGCTTAGGCCTTAAATTACACCCTCCATTCTGCTTCCTGACATTTCTTCCCTCTTCCCTTTCCCCTTCAAGTATATTTTGAAGCCAAAGAAACATGTATTCACTACAAATGAGTAAGAAGTTAGGTGTGATCTTATGCAAGCAAGTTAAGTTTTGTAATGTCTTTTGTTTTCTCATCTGAAAGAGATGGTACATCAACAGGTCATTTTAGGGATGAGATAAAGTAATATATCTTAATGATAAAAGGAACTCATGGATGTGTCCAATAAATGGTTATCATTATTAGAAGTAAAACAGATGATCAATATAGGAAGGTGATAAAGGGATAAATGCTTCCTATGTTCTTCTAAACTTAGGAGTCCAGTCTTTTTTCCACAGGACCCAGAGTCAGATTCTTGAATCTTTTTTTATTATTTAGAGAATATTTTGTTATTTTCTGTAATCAAACTCATGTAGATAAGACTGAATATTTAATTCAGTGCATCACATATGTATAAATGGAAAAATTAAGTTTAATGTGCCTAGACCAATATGGCTGTTGATTCCTGTACAATGCCAATTTAACATGGTAAACTGAGATGCTTTTTTCCGAAGCTGACAGCACAGCTAAAGCTGCCCCAAATTCAAACTTCACACACACACACGCACACACACACGCGCGCACACACACCTATCTCCATGGCCTGTGGACAGTGCCATAGCTTTTTCTTGTCAACTAACACTGTTCTTCATGGTCTCCTGTAAGAGGGGACATGAGTGAGTAGAAGCAGCTAGGACATAGGCAGGACACCAGCTAACTCAATACTCACTTCATACTGACCCAGATGGAAGAGGGCTGCAGAGCGATTGGCATAGCACAGTGAAATATCCTCAGTGTTAGGCCTGGAATGCGACACTCCCTGGAAAATAATGAGCTAGTCAAAGGAACAAACGGGAAGTAGCGTTTCTAATCTTTTATGAAAATGAGGGATCTACTGCTAAAGACTGAATGGAATTGTAAAATAAAATTACCGACTCTTTCTATTCCAACTACTTCCCTTTCATTTTTTACCTTTTAGCAAATCTCTGAAGATCAACGAGAAAATAAAGATTCAACACTGTATACTGTAGCATCAGATATAGCTTCTGCCACATTTATCAGTTTATCTAGGCTGACTGAACTCACTGTCACCCAGGCTAACTTTGAGTTTATGACCACACTGCCTCAATTCCCAAGTAGCTGGGATTACAAGCCTGTGCCACAAGGTCAAGTGTAAATGGACCAAACTCTTAATGTAACAAACGAAAGTGTAATAACTCTGGAAGGAACTATGAAGAGTCAAAAGTAATTGTTGGAGGAATCCCTTTCTACAACAATAATACCCAGATGTTGTTGGGTATGGTGGCACATGCATAAATCCCAGTATTTGGGAAGTGGAGGAAGGAGGATTGGAAGTTCAAAGCCAGTTTCTGCTACAAAGTTTGAGGTTATGCCTGGCCACATGAAACCCAGTCAAAAAAACAAAAACAAAAACAAAAACAAAACAAAAACAAAAAACCAAACCAAACCAAAAACCAGAAAGAAAGAAAAAGTAAAAATCACAAGAACAAAACTCTAGAAATCATAAAAGAATAATAAACTTAAGTCCATAAGGGTTGGAGATAGAGTTTAGTGGCAAGGTGCTTGCCTACCATATGGTAAGCTCTGAGTTCCATTCCTAGTATTATATGATATATATACATACATACATACACACACATATATACATATACACACATGTATATATATGACTGTATCATCTCTTATATGCATATGTATTCTTTACAATATAAACAAATCAAGGCAATATCAAAATGTAAACATTAGGCTGAATGTAACTCGTATTATAAACAAAGAGCTAACTTTTTCACTTCAAGTTTCAAAAGATAAATAACAAGTCAACTGACAATTCAATAAAAATACGCAAATGATACCAACAGTTTTTATGGGACATACAAATGACTCTGTTTTTTGTTTGTTTTTTTGAGACAAGGTCTCCTTACGCATGCCTGGTGATCCTGGAACTCACTATGTAGACTAGCGCTGGGATTAAAGGTGTAGACCACTTGGGATGCAGAGGCAGGCAGCTCTCTGTGACTTCTAGGCTAGCTGAAATACTTTTTCACCCATGAGTTTGTCTAAGAAAAATAAAACCAAGAACAGACTACTCGACAAAGGAGTGGGATAATGGGCACTCTCACTGTGTTGTGAGTGGTAGTATAAACTAGTCTAAAAACTAGTGATACAATTTAGTGATATATAGTAAATATTTTGGGGTAAAATGCTAGGTTTAAAAGCCAGAGCTTCATGAATTTTAAGTAAGCATTATAACTGATCTATGTCCCCCCTCTCACATACATATATAAATATATACACACACACATATATACATATACATACACACATATATGATGAGGATATCACAGTGAAGCTCATTCTTTTATACTGAAAAAAATGAATGAGCTGACCATGGGGCATGGTGGTGCACACCTGTAATCCCAACACTTGGGAAATGGTGGCAGGAGGATGAGGTTTAGCTGCACAAGAGTTTGAGGCCAGCTTGGACTACTATGCTGCCCAGACTAGCCTTGGCTCCTAGATTCATGATCTTCCTGCTTCAGTTCTCAAGTAACTGGAGATTAATGCCACTATACTGGGCTGTTTTTATTTATTTTTAAATTTATTTATTTATTTAATAAAGATTTCTGTCTCTTCCCCAACTGGGCTGTTTTTATTCACCTAGATATGCTTTATATACAGTATATTTAACAAGGCTAGCTTATGGGGATGGAAATGAGGTTAGATTAGGGGACAGAAAAAGAAACCATACTGTATATTCTTGCAACTTTTTAAAAATAATTTATTTTTATTTTATGTGTATTGGTGTTTTGCCTGCATGTATGTCTGTGTGAGAGTGTCGGATCTTGGAATTACAGACAGTTGTGAGCTGCTATGGGAATTGAACCCGGGTCCTCTGAAAGAGCAGTCAGTGTTCTTAACCACCAAGCCATCTCTCCAGTCCAGTATTCTTGCAACTTTTGAAATTGAACTATATGAACATATTTCCTATCCCCAAAACAAAGGTATGATACTAACAAAAATTAATATATAATAACCAATGTTGCTTATAATATGGAGAAAAAAATTCTCATATTCTGTCAGAATGGATGTTAACTAGTTCTTTCCTGGACAACAATTAAGCATCAACATCAAAGGCTTGAAAATGCTCCCTTTGACCCAGTGCTTCACCCTTCTACTAATTCAGCCTAAACAGAAATCAGTTGTACATAAATATTTATACAGAGAGATGCTTATTATAGCATCATAATGTCAAATAATATGCCAATATTAGATGTTAAATTAAGTACATTTCTTCTCTGTAATAGAACACTGAGTTAGCCATGGAAAATTACTTAGAGCAGAAAATTTAATACCATGAGAAAATGGGTACAATAAATTGTTGAAGAGAAAGAGCAGTTACAACACAGTAAGTACAGCCATTACCCCAATTTTGTGGAAGAAGAATCCATTCTCACAGGAGAAGGGCCGGCTGGCTGGGTGTAAGCAGAAATGTTAACAGTACTTATCACTGGTTATGACTTTTTTTTTACTCTTTATACTTCTCTATATTTTCCAAAGTAACATTACTTTTACGGACAAAAACAACAAGCATTACTTTAAAAAGAAAGAAAATAGCAGCTCTCTATAAAATTGCAAAGCACCATAATCACCAAAATACCAGCTTCATGAAATAGGAAGTGCATCTCCGTCTCCATCCGGCAAACCTTCATTTTTTTCCTTCTTGAGACAGGGTCTTATATAGCCTAGGCTGGTGTCAAGCTCATTCGAGAGCTCATTTCATTCTTAAAGTTATGTGCGTGTGGGAGTGTGGGTGTCTGTGAGGGCCAGAAAGGGTTTTGGATCCCAGAGGTGGGTGAACCAGAGCATCCATGGCCTTTACAAGGGCAGCCAGTGCTCTCGAGCTCTAAGCATCTCTCCAGTCTCTCCTTTATTATCATCTGTTTTCCTTGGACAACTTTCTGTAGGATCACGTTTAGGATGTAAAGGCATAAAACTGAAGCCAAATGCTTTACACCATTATAAAGTAGGGCTTTTATATGTTTGTAGAGTGGCTATTGAAGCTTTGATAATTTTTGGAAAACTAATTCCAAGTGTTGAATATTGACTTTTTAAAGGTGCAGAGGAATACAATACCCTACTTCCAGTGCTGGGAATCAAACCTTGGGCTTCATGCATGTTGGCAAGTGATGTCACATGGAGATATACCTCACTTTCACCCCCTTACATTCTTTTCACCCCTCTTAAGAAAGGGACTCATACAGTTCAGGCTAGCCTCAAACTTGTTACAAATCTAATACTGGCCTTCTACTCTTGATCTTCTTCCCTCCCTGAAACCTGGATTACAGGAGTATGCCAACATGCAGATCAAGAGTCTGATGTAGTCTTGCTTTAAGCCCAGATCTCTGAAAAAGCAGCAGAAGGAATTTTCTCAGGGTACCATGGAAACAAATGAATGAACAGATGCCCATTCTCTACACCCATATGTACCACATGTGCACACATATGCATGGCAGCAACAAGACTCCCAAAGGCTGATAGACAAGAAGTGACAAATAGGGCTGGAGAGATGGCTCAATGGTTAAGAGCATGGCCTGCTCTTTCAAAGGTCCTGAGTTTAATTCTCAGTAGCCGCATGGTGGCTCACAAGTGTCTATAATGAGATCTGGTGCCCTCTTGAGGAAGAGACCTGGTCAGTCATCCTCATCAACTTAGACCATAAAACCAAATATGGGCTGCCTACGCATTCTTCAGCATAGCCAGGACATAAATTTCAATTTCAAATTCAATTTCAACATGGAAACAGGTCAGTAAGAGTAACACAATGTTAAAAGCCATGATTCTACTTCAAAATCTAGCTTGGAGGGGGTGGAGAGATGTCACAGCAGTTAAGAACACTGGCTGCACTTACAGAGGACATGGGTTTGATCCCCAGAACCCACATGGTAGCTCATAACAGTCTGTAACTCATTCTAGTTCCAGGGGATCTGATGCCCTCTTCTGGCCTCCTCAGGCACCAAGCACACATGTGGTACACAGACATACATGTAGGCAAAAACAAATACACATAAAATAATAATAAACATAGCTTGATCATGTTTAGTGTAATGTAAAGTATCTATTGCCTGCCACTAATAGTAATATGTTAACTGATGGACCAAGAAGTGGTTGCACACACAAGCAGATCTCTGTGGGTTCAAGGTCAGCCTGGTTTACGAAGTGAGTTCCAGGACAGCTAGGGCTACACAGTGAAATCCTGCCTCAAAAAAAGAGAAACAAAACAAAACAAAACATGACCAACTGTTGAGAAATATTAGTTGAAGATGTGTTTGTTTAACTCTGTGAAGCTGGGTTACTTTTCCTGTCTAAAATACCTGATTGGTCTGATCAAGAATAGAATGGCCAGGGGGCTGGAGAGATGGCTCAGTGGTTAAGAGCATTGCCTGCTCTTCCAAAGGTCCTGAGTTCAATTCCCGACAACCACATGGTGGCTCACAACCATCTGTAATGAGGTCTGGTGCCCTCTTCTGGCCTGCAGACATACACACAGACAGAATATTGTATACATAATAAATAAATAAATAAATATTAAAAAAAAAAGAATAGAATGGCCAATAGCTAGGCCATAAGTGAGCAGGGATGGCAGGTAGAGAGAATAAATAGGAGGAGAATTCTTGGAAGAGAAGATGGGGAGTAAATGAAGAAGGAGAGAAGGATATCAGGGCGAGCTACACAGGAAGGCATGGTGTAAGTAAAGGAAGGTATACAGTACAGAGGCAAAAGGTAGATAGGATAATATAAGTTAAGAAAAGTTGGCGGGGGCCTGGGTAGTTGTTGAAGGCTGCAGACCCCTGGCCCCTTGACTTTCTTTGCCTGCCTCAGACCCTTTGCCTGCTGGATTGAAACAACTTGTCTACCTGTGCCTGCAGCTGCTCTGAGCACAAGACCCTCATGAGTTCCTGATGGCAGGGGAGCGAATTCTGGTGGTTTTTACAGCTGGAAATTCCAAGAGCTTGGGCATAGCTATCAGTTAAGGATCCCTATATAATCTTCCCTGGAGCACAATAAAGTTGGCATTCTTGTTTCAAGGATAACCTTGTCCCTGTCTCTGCGTGCATGTGTTTTTAAATCTCCAGCCTAGTTCCTGGTGCTACAGGTGGTGGCACACACCTTTAATCCCAGAACTTGGGAGGCAGAGGCAGGTGGATCTCTGTGAGTTTGAGGCCTGCTTGGTCTACAGAGCGAGCTCCAGGACAGGCTCCAAAGCTACAGAGAAACCCTGTCTCAAAAAAAAAAAAAAAAATTCCCCTAAATCCAAGCAATGTAGATGAAAAACAAAACACAAACCAATAGCCATGAAACTCAGCACCATTCTCTAGCTTGTGCACACACACGCCTGAGCAGCTGCTGGCTTGGACGCACATTACCTTAGAGTACAGCATTGCGGCGCCTATGTAGTCCTTCTCTTGGAATTTTTTGTTTCCTTTTTCTCTGTAGAAAAGGGGAGCATCATAGTCCTTTTCCACCAAGTAAGCACTAGAAAGCCGCTTTAAAAACACCTCATCTTCGGGCCTTTGTGAAGAAATAGGGAAACAAACAATAAGGGAGAAATCTGTTATTTCGAGTAAGGCTCTGCAATCACTGTACATGAAATTGCAACAAGTGGCTGAGAGCAGTGCACACAGGGTTGTGTGCTCCATGTAATCCACCTGGAGGGTTCTTCCTGTCTCAGAGACACAGGGACAGGGATACCCATTTAGAGCTGAGAGCGTTAATCTCTGACTCTTATCTCATACTCAGTGGTCAATGAATTATGCCTTGGATCACACATCAAATAAAGCCTAGGTGTAGAGAATGATATAATACACGGAATCTTTGCACGGAGGGGTGCTCTCCAGTTACACTGTTGAAAATACTGGATGGGCCGGGGAGATGGCTCAGCAATTAAACCCATATAATACTGGTCATCAGAGGACCTGAGTTCACTTGGCGCTCACATCAATCAGATGCCTCACAACCATCTGTAACTCCAGTTCCAAGGGCATCTTACACTTCTGACCTCTGTGGGCACCTGCACTTGTGTACATAACTCACATGCAGGAGCATGCATATAATTTAGAACAATAAAGAAATTACAAAAAAAAATACTGAAGATTTGGGCATGGTGGTACAGACCTGTAATCCCAGCCATCAAGAAACTGAGGCAACAGGATTACCTTAAGTAGAAGACTAGCCTGAGCAAGACAGTTTTCAAACAGGAAGGTGCGTGCACGCACACACACACAATGTTAAAAGTGTGTATGTTTGGGCAACTAGATGGCTTGACTCAGAAAAGCACTTGTTGCTAAACTTGGCAACCTGAGTTCGATCCTGGGACCCAAATGACAGTAGGAGAGAACTATACATTGTTTTCTGATTTCTACATGAACACAATGGCATGTACATACCTGCGCACACACATAACCACAAAAATTAAATAATTTAAAAATACTTGCTGGGTGTGGTGATGCATGCCTTCAACCCCAGAATGTGGGAGGCAGAAGCAGGTGGGTATCTGTGAACTTGAGCTCAGCTTGGTCTACACAGCAAATTCCATAACAGTCAGGGCTACACGGTGATACACTGTCTCAAAATAAACAGATAAATAATTAATGGGAACTGGAGAGATGGCTCAGTGGTTTGGTTCCCAGTTTACCACCATCTGTACCTCCAGTTCCAAGGGATCCAACATCTCTCTCTCCTGGTTCCCACAGGCACTAGGTTTGCACACAGTGAACATACATACATGTAGGTAAACCACTCACACACAGAAAATAAAAATAAATTCAAAAATGAAATAGCACCTTTCTAGTTTGAAATAACTTTAGGTTTACTCGCAAACACAGTCCAAAGAATTGCTACATGGTACCCTTCCAGACTGCCTAAGTGCTGACTCCTCCACACCCACTTCAGGACCCCCTCCTGTGGGCTCACCCAAGGGCTTCCACAGTTTGAAAGGCATGTGCTATTACTCCCAGCTTCAGTGTAGTTTTTTTTCTCTTGGCACAGAGTCTTTGCACTACACAGGCCAGCATCAAACCCCAAACCCTCCTTCCTCAGCCTCCCAAATGTTGGTAAAAGGTTTTATTTTCTTTTTAAAAAAGATTTATTTAGGGCTGGAGAGATGGCTCAGAGGTTAAGAGCACTGCCTGCTCTTCCAAAGGTCCTGAGTTCAATTCCCAGCAACCACATGGTGGCTCACAACCATCTGTAATGAGGTCTGGTGCCCTCTTCTGGCCTGCAGGCATACACACAAACAGAATATTGTATACATAATAAAT